CGGGAGGGTGCAGCGCTGGGAGCGCAGCAGTGCTCCCGCCGTGGGCTTGGATCCTATATAGGGATGACTGGTGCGCTCACAGCACTCACTGGCTGAGCGCGGTGCGGCCGGTCTCAAAAAGGACAAAAAAAAAAAAAAAATTAGAACTAGAATTACCATGGGATCCAGCAACTCTAAAAGAACTGAAAATAACATCTCAAGGAGATATTTGCACTCCCATGTTCACTGCAGCAGTATTCATAGTTGCCAGGAGGTGGAAGCAACCTAAATGACCATGAACAAATGAATGGAAAAGATAATGCAGTATATACATTCAATGGAATATTATTCGGCCTTCAAAAAGAAGGAAATCCTGTCATATGCTATAACGTGGCTGAAACGTGAGGAAATTATAAGTGAAATAAACCACTCACAAAAAGACAAATACTGCGTGGATCCACTTATTTGAGGTATCTAAAAATAGGCAAACTCTTAGAAAGTAGAAGGATGGTTGCCAGGGGTTGGGGGAAGGGGAAAAGGGAAGTTGATCAATGGATTTAGAGTTTCAGTTTTTCGAGATGAAGTTTTAGAAATCTACTGAATGACAGTGTATATATAGTTGACACTACTGTACTGTATCACTTAAAAATGGTTACGATGGTAAAGTTCAAGCTTTGTGTTTTTGACCACAGTAAAAAAAAAAAATTTTTTTTCAAATAAAAAATGTTCCATGGTAAGAAATCTCAGGAAAAGTTCCTTTATAAAGTTGTGAGCTGTAGTTAGAAAATCAGCACAGGTTCTAGCAGACACTATAATTTGAAGCTTCTCAATTGTAGTTTTCACTGATACGATGCTGTCTACAAGTAGTAATAAATTTTAAAAAGAAGGAAGAAATACTATTGAAGAAGCTGGGTGTTCAAGTAAGTAGGACCTCAACGGGCAGAAGAGTGGGGGAAGGGAAGCGTGTTCCAGGCCAGGGGAAAGGCCTGTGCAAAGTCAGGCAGGAGGAAGAAGGAAATGCAGGCTGTGTTTGCAAGGCCAGCCCACTGGTGTGGCTTGCTGGCAGGGTGAGTGAAGGGCGAGGTGGCCCGTAGAGGGAAATCAGGTGGACCAGGGCCAGGGTGGGGCCAATTTGTGGAGAGTTTTAAACCTCTGGGGAATCTGAGAGTTTACAGCGGAGATCAGATCTTGCAGGGGACGGCGAGGTGGCCCGTGGAGGGAAATCAGGTGGACCAGGGCCAGGGTGGGGCCAATTTGCGGAGAGTTTTAAACCTCTGGGGAATCTGAGAGTTTACAGCGGAGATCAGATCTTGCAGGGGAGAAATCGGGGCAGAACGAGCCCTGGGGAAGCACACGTGTTGGAGCTGAACGAGCATGGGATGAATCGAGTCTGATTAAAGGCGAGTCTCAGCAGAGTGAGGACGTGAGAGCGAGAGCTGGGCTGCGTGCAAGCATGGCAGCTTTCCCAGGCGGGAGATCCGATTCACCTGCAGCCAGGCTGATCACAGGCAACCTTCCCTTGAACCCCATCAGGAAATCACCGTGACATCCCTTGTTCCCATAAATTAAAGACGACCATGGTAGCAATGACAGTTTGGGGGGAAACACTAGTGGCCTCGCAGCTGTCCCTGCCAGCAGGGGTCTTAACACCCACTGGGCAGGGGCTGGGAGTGGTTTGGGTAAAATAACATTGCACCGGTCTCCTGAGTCAATGTTGTGCTGTGAACCAACAGAACGTTCTAGGGTGGGGGAGGGCCAGGGACCATGCTTCCTTGATCATTTTCTTGAGCAAATCAGCTCCGGCTTCCAGGCAGAGGAAGGAGAAGGCAGAGCAGAGAATGTTCCTCTTAGAACCAGTTTCCAGTTACTGGAGTCTCCTGGGCCGGCCAGTACAGGATTCATCTGCCAGGCACAACTAAATCCCACTGTTTGCATAGATATAGAAATATTTGTCAGACCCTATGTTCTGAAGGCAGGTCCAGGAAATATGGGCCTAATACCATTCACGGCTACTTAGTGAACTCTTATTATGTGCCCGGCACAGTGTTAATCTCACGGATCACTGCATTTAACCCTCACAGAGACTCTATATGGAGGGTGCTATTGTTATATTCCCATTCTACAGCTGGGGAAACAGAGGCTGCAAAAAGTTAAAAATTTTCCCAAAGTCATGCAGCCAAAAGTTACAGTGTGACACTGCAGCCTGTCCACCCAACTGTGAAGCACCATAGAAAACACATTTCTGATCAATACTGATTGACCTTCTAGAGATGGTTCAGCCGGGTCCAGGGTGAGGCATGGGAGGCACTCATGGTAAGCGCCAAACGTAAGCAGCACCAAAAACCTCCCTAATCAAGATAAATAATATTTTAATGCAATGTTTTTTTTAAAAAAATCTAAATTAGTGCAAAAAAGAAATCCACGATGAACAAAATATCAACATTTTAAATAAAGAGAGGATCCAAACAGTGACGCAGGATTGGTGGGTAAACGGGGAGTTCTTTATGGGTTTGTCTCTTCTGAACTGAATCCCAGATTTCCTGGAGCTGATAGTAATCCTTGCTCAGCACTGTCCCCTTTCTTTAGGCTCTTATGAAGCTGATCTTTCCTGCCTCCTTCCTACCCACCGTTAAATTCTAAACAAATACTTAAGCAACAGGCAATGAAGTCACATATTGCACACAAGTATTGATTTTCAACGCTGTACCCCACAAATATGTACACTCAGCTATGTTCCAATAAAAAAAATTTTTTAAATAAAAAAGATCTCCACGATGAACAGAAAGTGGGTCTGGAATCACATGACAATGAAAGTCAGCTTGCTGTGCCCTGCCTCCTGCCCTGCTGCTCCTGAGGGGACCTGGTGGGAGAGCCAGGGGCCCTCCTGGATGGGACCCTCCCTCCACCAGAAGCATGCTGGGCATTGAGCAGAGGGGGGCCATGTGCTCTTGGGGCGGTCAACGCTTGGCATGTGTGTTTACTCTAAGGCAGTGCCATCGGCCACTTGCCAAAAGGAAACTCGGTGCATCTGGGTTTTGCTGAAACTCGAAATGATAACAGATTTTGCCTGAGCGCAGTAGGCTCTTGGCTTTGCTCCTCCCTTCCTAATGCCCTTGGCTTTCTGTTCCCTGGAAAGCAGCTGGATACAGCCATGGGAGATGAGGGCAGAGATGGAGCAGTGACGGTGGCAGGCGCCACGGAGGGGAGAGCTCTTCAGCTAGGCACAGAGCCATGTCGCTGAGAGTTCCTTGAACAGGAGAAGCAGAAAGTGCCCAATTCTTTCAGCAAATCTCCGACCAGGGGTCGGAATAGTTCATTCCCCAATGGGGATTTAAGTGGCCGGGGCTTTAAAGGCCCCTCTAGTTAGCAGCAGGAGGGGACACTGTGGTTATCGTCATCCACTGTGAGCATGTCAAGGAGCTTCTTCATTCTTGGAGACCACGTATCATTTTAAAATGAAGATTGTGCTTGAAATCTACAGAAGGGTATGGGATTTGGGGTCTGACAGTGGGGTTTGAGCTCACTTCTAGGGTGACCAACTCTGCTGGTTTGCCTGGAACTGAGAGGCTTCCCAAGACATGGGACTTTCAATCCTAAAACCAGAAAAGTTCTGGCAAATTGAGGTGAGTTAGTCACTCTTTTGGGGCTCATTCTTGCAGAGTTTCCCTCAAACTTTCAGTCCCTCCTTTTCCACACGTATAGAATGAAGATACTAATGAAACCTGCTGTCCCCACCTTACAAACTCGTGGGACTTAAAAGAGCTAACGTCTTAAACGTCTGAACCTCCCCTTCAGAGCACGTCCCTCTTCTTCCTCTCACTTGGACCTGTTTTGGGGCAAGGCTGCCTTATGCAGCTCTGCATCCAGGGTGCTGGGTAACGAGCAGATACTCAGGAAATCTGTGTGGAAAGTGCTTTGTAAAGCACAGCACAAAGTGTTTCCATTTGTTGGTTTATTCCCGCCTTTTCTGCCTGTCCCTGGTTTGCCCCGGGACAAGGTCTTCTATGGGTTCAGGCAGACAGGCGTTCCCCCAGGGTGGCTGTCAGGACAGTAGTGCAGCGGCGGCAGGAGGCTTGGCCACGGCCTTGTTTGGGACAAAAGGTGGACAGGCAGTGAGAGAAGTGGGCCTCGTGGGGAGGTGAGGGAACAACAGGTCCCCACCATCAGGGGAGAAGGGCTTTAGCTGGGATCCTAACAAGCAAGCCAGCCCCCCAGCCTCCGGGGCTCCAGCACCGAGCTGGGCTTAAACTGTATTCTGAGGCCCAGTGCTGGCCCTCACCTGCCTGCCTCTCTCCCCCAAGGCCAGCGATCCCTCAGGAGGGCTCCTTGCAGGGCTGCCTTCCCTGGGGGTCAGCCAGACCTTAGCATGCTGAGCTGTCCCCTTGGCCTGGGCATAGCCTGGCTCCACAGAGTGAAACCTCGTGGGCAGTCTGCCCCAAGTCTCAGCTCTCCATCTCCCCCTCACCTCTTGTCTCGCCTCTCCCAGCCCTAGGCCTGCTTCTCTGCCTCTAGGCTCCTGGAGATGTAGGGTCCTGGCTCTGTGTGGCCACCCAGGGTCCCAGCCTCACTCCTAACCCTCTGAGCCTCAGTCTCAGCTGACTTCCCTGGAGACAAGCCCTGTGGCTCTGGGACTTGGAATCTACCAGAGGATGTTGGAGAGACGTATAACCCAAGGCAGCCTGGACTCAGGAAAGCCCCTCTCCAGCACTTGTCAATCTGCACCCAGAGGCTCCATCCCACACGTCCTCCAAATCTTTGCTAATCCTGTTTCATTCTCTTGCTGGCACATCCTTCCTGGGGCCCAGGAATGTGGGGGACACAGACACAGTCCCCATCACCAGAGAATTCTAGAACTCTGAGTGGAAGAAACCCCAAAGGGAACTGGTCTAGTCTTTTGCATTTGGGTAGGTTACATATTATTGTTTGAAATTCACGGTAAGGACACGTAGGCTCAGAGAGGGCAAACGACCTCCCCGAGGTCACACAGTAAAGGAATGAACAGCTGCTGCTCAGCCACCTACCTGAACTCTCCTTTTTCCGTCTGGATGATTTCTTGTCCATCTCGTTGGCAGTGCTCCCAAGGACCCCGTAGTCCTCGCCTGGGCCTCCCGTGGCGTCCACCAGGCCTGGGCTGCTGGCCCCCCTCTCTCTGGAGCCCCTAGCCGGACCTGGGTTGAGGCTGTGCCGGGCCTCCGAGACAGGGAAGTGCCAGTCAGGGGGCTGTGTGAAGGCGGGGTGCTGCTCAGTGAAGACACGCTCCTCCCGGGGCAGGCTATGTGGGGTGGCTGCCAGGCAGGAGGCTGAGAAGTCAGGGTACGCTGCTGTCGCTGTCGCCGGGAAGTCTGGTTTCTGATGGAAGGAGAATGGGGTTGGAGGGTAGTGGGGTAGCCCTGAGGCCCCATTGCCTTCGGAGTGGGGGTTTCGAAGGCAGCCCCAGATGGGGGCTGGGGGGTGGGGGCTTCTCATGCAGCTGCTGGCCACAGGATCCATCTGCTGTCCACGTCTCAGTCCTTTCAAAGTTTTCACTCTTTACACTTTTTATATTCAAATTTTTTAAAATGCAAAAAAAAAAAAAAAAGAAAAGAAAAATTAAATAGGAGTGGAAAAAGTTCAATAGAAAATTCACCCCAGGAACCAAAACAAAAACCAAAGCTAAAGTCTCTCCTTAAAGTACACACACATGTGGCCAGCTACCCACACGTGCGTGTGCACACCTATTTCGGGTTTCACTACTTGCTTCCTGCCCCCCAACACACCAGCCTGCCTATTGGGGTCCCTTGTACGTGTATTTGTCGCTGATGACACTAAACATTTTCACTGTCCCAGCCCAGACGCACCAGCTGATGAGCTTGTCCTGGAGCCTGAAGCAAATGCCTGCAGAGGGCTGGACCAGGGCTGCTGAGACACACTTTTAAATCCTGCGGTGAGGAGAGAGTGACAAATTTCTGAGTGAAATGTGAGAGAGGAGAGGGAGGGGTTAACTCGCACACACAAGATCCCCTCCAACCAAAACCCGAGCAGGCAACTATTAATCATCAGAAACCTTATATGCACATCTAATGGGATTTGCAGATGGAGACTTTTAAAGAAACATGGTCTGTATTTTTTTTTTTTTTAATTTTAAGGACAGAGAGCAGCACACACACCGTCTTTAATGTGCCTCCTGTAACACTATGAAGTTATTTTTATTGCACTGTTAACAAAATTCCCCACGTCTTGGATTTGGAAAAAACCTCAAGTCAGATCCAGAATCCATCAAATGCCAAATTCCAGGGAGCGAAGCAGAGAATAAGTGTAAGAGACAAGCTTGGTGATTGCATTTGATTTAAAGGCCCTTCTACTGCTGCCTGCAGAGGAGGAAGGTGGATTAAATGAAATCTTTTTTGCAAGTCTCAGTGGCCCACTATGGTCTGTAGTATAAAGAAAGACACACTCCAGAAAAAAATAATTTCTCTCTGTCCAAAGTGACATTGTCACTTTCTGAGTAACTTAGAAAAAAATCAGATTCCTCCTTCCTCTCTTCAACCTCCAGCTTATATGCCAATTAGCCACACTCTTCTCTAGAGAGGTGTCAAGTCATTTTTCTCCACAGCAAAGGCAAGTTCTTAAATAAGGTCCTTGAAGTTTCTTCAGACCCCCCCCCCACCTGCTCCCTGCCCTCCTCACCTCTACCCACCTGCTTCCCTTTCTTGGCCCCCAGAGGCTGAGGCGTCCACGGAATCTGGGGCATGGAAATAGAAATCAGGGGCTTCTCTTTCCCCAAAGGAGTTCTTTCTCTTTGGTAAACAGTCCCACGGGTCTTCCTGGCTGGTGCCTATCACAGGATGGCCAGCCCAAGTGCCATTTCAATGGGTCAGTCAGTCTACGTCATGGCCATGCCCTGCTGGTCTCTCTGGAGGGTTCATGTCATCTCTCAGGAGATGCAGTTCCAAACACACAAGGGCAAGAATTCCTCTCCCACTGAGTATTTCCACGGCCCAGCGAAGTGGGACCAGGGCAGAAACAGGTGTGGACCTTAACAGCAATGTCTCCACTGGCTGGTTCCAAAGACACCCAGGGTTCGCTGAGGAGGGGCCCGTGGGCCTTACTTAGCTCTGCAGCCTGGAGGAGGGGCCCTAGGGTAAGGGTGCGGAGATGCTCCAAGCCAGCAGACATAGGAAGAGAGCAAGGGGACCCGGGGTTGTGCAGAAGCCCCAACTTGCCCTTTAACCCAGAAAGTCCGGTCAGAGACACATCCCAGGGGGCAGGAAAAGCTGTAACTGATGGGGGTGTGTGTGTGCACGCACACTCTTCATGAAAAGACATTTTCTGGAACGAGCGGCTAGGGCTTTGTAGACTGAAAGAGGAGGTGGGGTCATAGCCACAATCTTACTTAGCTCTGCAGCTTGGAGGAGGGGCCCTAGGGTAAGGGTGCGGAGATGCTCCAAGCCAGCAGACATGGGAAGAGAGCAAGGGGACCCGGGGTTGTGCAGAAGCCCCAACTTGCCCTTTAACCCAGAAAGTCCGGTCAGAGACACATCCCAGGGGGCAGGAAAAGTTGTAACTGATGGGGGTGTGTGTGTGCACGCACACTCTTCATGAAAAGACGTTTTCTGGAACGAGCGGCTAGGGCTTTGTAGACTGAAAGAGGAGGTGGGGTCATAGCCACAAACCAGACTCATCTCTCTGCTTTGTCCAGGGCTGAGCTGTTACACCCACAATGCTCCACTGACCTCGTAACTCTCCTATTGTGGGTAAAGAAAGAATTAGGTCTGCATTTTGCAGGTGAGGAAACTGAGGCTCAGACAGAGGGCTGGGTGGTCAGAATCATACAGCTAAGAAAAGGCAGAACCAGAAGTTGCCCTCAAGTGTCCGGCTTTCCAGTCTGGAGCAGGCCAGATGCAGAGGAAGAGATGTGATGTTTGGGGTTAGGGCTGAGATCAAATCCTGGGTTTGCCACTTCCCAGCTGTGTGCCCTGGGATAAATCACTTCACCTCTCTGTGCTTCCGGGATGATAGTCGGAGCTGACATTCACCCACTGATTTTAGCACCTTACACACATTACCCCAGTGGGTCCCCACAAAAGCCCCCTGAGGCAAGTGCTATTTTCATCGTCTCTGTTTTTCAAAACAGGAGACTCTGAAGCACAGAGACACTGTGTAACCCTGGACAAGGTCACACAGCTAGGAAGTAGTGGAGCCAGGACCCAAACCCAGATGCCTGCCCCGCAGATATTTGTGAATTTTACATGAAATCATTATGTGAAGGGCAGAGTATGTAACGTGGCTTCCTTCCTTTGGGTTCTCCTTAACCTCAGGGATTCTGAAGGGGGAACATGGGAACGGGGAACACTGAGGAAATTCTTCAGAAACGGCCCTGAGGGGTTCTGGGGCTCTATGCTGCGGGGCTCTGGAAGGAATCCATGGGAGGCTGGGAGGAAGATCTGGCCTGCTGGCTTCCCTAGGAACACCTTCCCGGGGCCTGGGCCTGCAGGCTGTAACCGGACTCCCACTCGGGCCTCCACATCTGGCCCAGGGACCCCATCCCAGGGAGGCCCAGCAGCCTGGCCCTTTGCCCCTGGAAGGGGTGGGCCCTGGGTCACAGGGGGGTGGGTGGAGAGGTCAGGAGGGGCACGGGGAGGGGCGCAGTGGGGTGTCCTGTGCTGAGAACATGGGGCCCTGGAACCCGGCGCCCCAGCAGCTGCTGGCGTCCATCAGCCACCCCGTGGGGCGCGGCCGGGGGCCTGCAGGCCTCTCCATCTTCCTGACAGGCCCCTCTTCTGAGGCCAGGAAAAAACAACAACAGTCCCTCCCCTCAAGGCGACCCATTTGTTAGATGAAGGCCGGGCACCAGCACCTTTAACCTTCTCAAAGTCAGTATTTCCCCTTCAAGGCCCCGCAGGCCCAGGAGACAGAGATGGATGGAAGGGGCTGTTTGGAGAGAATGGCCTGTGGCCCTGCAGCCAAGGGGAGCATTTTCAGGAAGGGAGGGTCCCCCGGTTCCTGGTTGCTGCTGTGATAGCAGGGGGAGGAAGAGGGAAAACGTGAGTCAGGCCCAGGTCCCTGAGGGGCCCTGAGGGTGGCGTTGGGCTTGGCCACACCTGAGCCATGGCAAAGAACTTTTGGAATTTCCTCCCGTGTGCACGACATGCAGGCGTGTCCTTGGCATGGTGGGCCTGCTCCTGTGCTCGGCCACCCCACCCACCTGTGCCTGGAGATGCCGGTGTCGGGGAGGCCCTGGAGGCAGAGGCCCGAGCTCAAGGGGTGGCCTTGCCTTTCACCAGCTGTGTGGTCTCAGGTAAGTCGCATTCCCTCTCTGAGCCTCAGTTTTCTCACTGGCAGAATGGAGTCGACACTACCAGCCTCGTGTGGTGGTTTTGAGAATGAATGAACTGATGTCTGAGGAAAGAGCTGGCTGGCAATAAAGGGTGGTGCACACGGGGAATCGTCATGCCTTCTCTTCCCTTAACTATTCTGAACCCCTGGACAAGCCACATTTCGATGGAGGGTGAAGATGGCCCATTCTAGCCCCTAAATACCTTCTGCTATGGCGACATAACACAAGGGTCAAGATCATGACCTTGGGGATCAGGAGGGTGTGGGTTCAAATCCCAGCTCTGTCATTAATAAGCTGAATGGCTTTGAGCAACTCACTTGATCACTTGAGCCTCAGTTTTCTCATCTGTGAAGTGGGGAGAGATGACTTGAGTGAGGGGCGTGATCTGTGAAAGCTCTCATCATAGCCTGGCAGACGGTGGCAACACCTGGATGATGATGATGATGATGATGATTCCTGAAATGTCAGAAGGCCCCTGTGAAATACTTATATGCCACCTGAGAGGGGACCAGAGGAAGCCATTAGCATCCACTCCAATAGTAGAATAGGTGAATCACACAAGACACCTTTTCTCTAGCAAGATCCTGAGGGACGGAACAGGAGACACAAATTTTGAATGTGGGAAATGGCTGTGGACTAGGATGTTTACTACTGGGCCCAGGATTTATTAAAAATATGCATGTCGTTTGTTTCTCAGAAGGCTTTGAGGCAGCAGAGTTACTACTGCCTGCCAGTCTGCCCTGCAGGGCTTTTGTGTGGTTCCAATAGTGTGATCTATGAGACAGAGTTGAGTACACAGAACACAGTCCTTACAGTTATCCCAGATGCCCCTGGGAAGCCCGCAAGTTGGGGCCAAGACATGCCACCCCAGGGACCCAATAACAGGGTCTTTACCTAAATCCCAGAAAACACTGAGCTACTGGAGACAAATTCCGCAGATTAAAGTTTTCTCCTGTGGGGCCGGCCCGGTGGCGCACTGCTCCCGCTGAGGGTTCGGATCCCACATGCAGACCGGTTCCCGCTCGCTGGCTGGGCGAGGTGCGGGTGCAGCACAGAGGGTTGCGATCCCGTTGCCGGACACAAAAAAAGACAAAAAAAGTTTTCTCCTGTGTATACATATATATATATATATATATTTTTTATGTTGTCTGCAAGAAACCACTTTTTAAAAAATTGAAACAATTGATTATACATATCTGTTGGGTACAGTATCTTGTGTATATATTTTTAAAATTTTGGTGCTGACCGTCATTTATCTGCTACCGAGATTGTAGACAGATGACTGAAAAACGTAATACCCAGAACAGCCTGCATTCGAAACCCGGCTCTGGCAGGTCGCATGACCTCAGTTTCATCAACTGCAAAGTGGAGGCTCACTGTAGAGACACGGTATAGATACTCAGTGCCCAGCAAGTGGGCACCTTCCAGGCATCTGTGCCTGAGGAGTTAGAGTCACGTTGGGTCACAAAGGTGTGGGATGGCGTCCCTGGCAAGGATGGGGCAGGGGTGTGTGTGTCAGGATTGGAGTCAGCTACATAGAACAGAAACCTCAAAATAACAAAAGGGGACA